AGATACCATGTGTCCAGCATTCACCCACGTTTCATCGAGATAGTATATTTTTTTAGCAGCTCTAAACTCTTTAATATTTCGTAAATAACGCCGGCACCAGGACACTATATCCGACCTCTCAATTAAAATTGATTTCTTACACCGTTTGACAAAACGAAATTTTAGGTCCCATAAAATTTTTCGTAAAGTCACGGCTCATTAATGGAATTTCTTCGTTTTCTCTTAATTTCGTAAGAACAACTTTAAGGGTTGGGGCTTTGTTTAAAAAAAAAAAAGAATATTCTTCGAATGATTTGTTTTTGGTTATCGTCCAATTTCAACAATTTTCGACCACAGGTATGCGTTTTAAGGGCTTCTAAGGAGCCTTTTTTTGTCTTTTCGCGTACAATACGTTTATTGTTGAAAAATAACTGCGGTTTACAGCTTCATTTGTTGGAAGTGTCTGTTTCAGCCCATTATACACTTTCCATTTCATCCTTTGATAAGGGCTTTCGTCGACGTAATTGGGTTTTACTTGGACCCGCCTCTGAATCCATTACTATTGTAACAATATAATTATACTATTAAATTGTTTTTATTAAATTTATAAAGACACCAATATTTTACTATTTAATATACTTTTAAAGTACCTACCTAATATACTACACAATAAATATAACTCCTCGAATATGCATTACCACTACCAAATTGTAAGGCACAAACATGAACACCTACTCGTATATCAGAAAAGAGCACTTATACAAAAAAGTGTTTATAAAATTTTTAAATAATTATCGTAAATAGTTAAAGCGATACAAATCTAACTTCGTCGAAAGTTAGTTTTCAACTGTCTTTGTGCCTGTGCTGACAATATTCAATCTGTAACCCGTCTGTCGTTTATTTACTTGAAAAACATTTTAAAACCATTAAACACGGATAACGAAGTTATTAGGGAATAAATATATTCATTTCTTGAAACCTATCAAAAACGTATATTTAACGCATCATCTTTGTTTAAATAAAGATGTTGACAAACTAATTTAATAAAGTTTACTAACAAATATCTGATAAATAATAAATAATTATTTGGTATTTGATAGGCCGCCTATCCTAACTCTGTCGGAATTTTCATTCATAGACAACAGTGTTGATCGTGCATATGACTCACCTTCTCCAGTGATGGATTTACGCCTAGGCCCGTGAGGCCCGGGCCTAGGGCGGCATAATTTGAAGGGCGGCAAAAATTTATGAATGCCAAAATTTTAGAGGCACAAAAAAGTAAAGACAATCAATTTCAAAAATTGGTTCAGATTAGTTTTTATGAAAAATTTTCGATAGAAAATATTATAATTTAATTCATTAATTTACTTCTCAATCTGTATGGGTAACATATTAATTTTTTAATCGATCAACTATAGTCTTTATCGAGTAATATTCTTGACTTTTTGTTCCTTTAGTGAGATTAATCTTACGTGTATGAAACATTTTGAAATTATTAAATCCGAATGACTTCTCTATTTGTTTATAGTGTGAAATAAAAATACCGAAGATTTGCATGTACCTGATTAAAAAAAAAGTATTAACATAAAGAAAAAAGTATTGATTTTCTATTCAATCCAATACTTTTCAATACTTTTTTCTTTGTCTCAATATTTTTTTTTATTCAGAGATATTGAATATCGTTAAGATATTTATTTAAAAGTGTCAGAACATTTTTTGTTTATAAAAATAATTTTTTATAAAAAATAAATCCTGTCTTTTTCCATATTCAATTTTTTAAATCATCAAAATAACTGTTAAAAAATTGAAAGTTTTATCTAAAATAAAAAAAAATAATTCGACATTTCTCATATTTGCAAAATCTTCAATTACATCTACAAATTTCAATAATTTCTGAAAATCCAAGTGCAAGAATTTCGAAATTTTTTAAATTAAAATATGTGAGCTGATGTATATTAAAGCGGTGGACTTATGATATGGTTACATTTATGTGGTTATTATAAATATAAATAAAAAGTTTTAAGACAAAATTGTATTTCAATAAATTAAGTTACTTTAAAATAAAAATATTGGATAAAAATCCAATATTTTGTCCGAGTATAGTCACCGAGGTTTTAGTAGTTTTATGGACGAACCCGCAAACAACTGTATATTATAAATAATTAACATGAAAAAAAAAAATGTTAATCAATATCAGGTAAATTTTATGGACATGGTATTTTTAACCTTCCCCTTCCGCAATATAAAAATTTGTATAAAAATGTTGCTCGACATTGCAATTTTGACAGCAACGGCAAGAGTATCAGGTGTACCTAAACTTGAATAATAAAGCTCACACAATATTATTAGGGAGAAAGCATACCACGTTAATTGTCCCATCAATCATATAATTAAACTTGATATTTGATATAATTTTGTAGAGAACTTCCTGATATGAAATAATGAACGGTATATTAACGGCGAAAGTTTTCTCGTTAGTCTTCATTAAAACGAATCCTTCCTGATATGCAGTCTTGGTTTGTTAAAAAGAAACGTTTTTGAGATTTTCTAATCGATCTAATTTGACTTAAAACTTCGAAAAATTTAAAATATTAATGGTTTAATAATGTTGGATAAAATTGTCTTGTTGTTTTGATGAACAAATTTTAGAAAATTTTGTAAAAAAATGTTTTATTTCTTTTATATACTACTTTTTTAGTTTTTATACTTCTTTTATTTAAAATAAATTAGTATTTTCTTAATTTTTTGATCTAGAAGTATTATTCTGATAAAAAACAATACCTACATTATGTTTGTAAATTAAATTTAGGATTGATTGCTGTCTTACTATTTTTCATAAAGATCTATAAACAATCTCAGATTTGTATAGTAGAAAATAAAACATTTCCATTACTAAATTTTATGTACCTCTAATAGATCTTTTCAAAAGTTCAATGCGTCGAGAATGGATTACATTTATTTAAGAGCAAAAAAAGGGAGGCATTGTACCGAAAGGACTGGTCGGGAAAGCAAAGAGGAGCGCTTTAAAATGATTTCCAACTCTAAAAGCCACGCTTTTTCCTTGTATTTCAACAATACCAGGCATTATATTGCTACTAGATGCAAATTGCTTTAGTACAGTTGAAACAAAAAATAGTTTGAATTGTCTGAATTTATTCATTGTACATAATTATTTCTAATCGATACTACCATTTTGCTTGCGAGGATTGCATGGTTTAGAATAGTCAATTATGATTATTTAAAGCCTTGTTTGTTTATGATAAAATATTTGAACACCAAATTTCACGTTTAACAAATTTTTCTAATTGGCATCCAACTCTGTCTTTTGTCTATGTCCATTTTATTCAAAGATGCTTGCTATTTGTAATCGTTATCCCTGGTAATGTTTATTAAGCTCATCATCGTTTTCTTTAATATTTTACTTGTTAATATTTATAATAATTTTAAATAATACAAAAAAACTATTGCAAGCAAACAATTTTCTAAATTTATAAACTGACGCAATTTCCTCGCATTATCTTTATCCCTCTTCAAAATTGACACATCACAATCGTCTGAAATATTCTTTGACGCGCAATTTTCTTTATTGTTGAAAAATCCCCTTTCTGTTGTGACAAACCGGATGTTGAAAGAAAAGAAAGCTCCTTAAAGCCGCGCCATGAATCGTATCTCTTGATTGAGAAAGATAGAAGTATAAAATGTACATTAAAGACTCGAGATAGGGCATCGACTGACCTTTCATCGATGCGAATAGAAAGATATCATTCTGGAAGCTCTGGGATCATAACTGAATAGATTTAGCAAATATGTTTTGAAATTTTATGTCTATGTATGATACTGAAATGTAAACAAATTAAAGGAATATATTCAAAATGTTTAATAATTTGTTTATACAGGTTGTTTTATTCGAAAAGGACTTAAATACAGGATGTTTCATCAATTTTTCCCTTGGCTCATAATTTTTCGGTCAACCTGTTTATGTTTTTAACTTTTGACACAAATGCTTCATAACTTGTCGATCTAATAATTAGATATCCAGAATAAACAGCATGCAGATCCGTATTTACAAATAAATTCGTCCATTCTTAAAACAACACCTTTTTTCCATATTTCAAGAACACAAACACTAAATCCAAAATGTTGGAGACAAAATGGAAACGAAAAACTTTTTTCTTTTTTGTGTTATAATAATGTAACTAAGTAAATGTTTAAAAGCTATAGAATCAATCCCACTTAAAATAACTTCATATCAAAAATAAATATGATTATAGCGTTGGTATAACAATTATAGTAAACAGAATGTGATGACCCTGTGACAGAAATCAAAAAATAATATCTTCGAAGAGATAGACAATCCACTTACCGTAGACAGCCCCGGATGTAGTGGGGGGGGGGGGCAAGCAAATTCAGAGGTCAGCAAATAGTATTATATCTAGCAACAAACTGTCTTTCTTTTCGTGGTTCCCACGAAACCCCTAGCGATCTCATCATACAATGTCCTCAACCGGGCCAAGGAAATTTCTTGAATTTAATTTTGCTTCTTTCCAAACAATTTCAATTAGAAAACTTATAAACAGACAAGTATCATATTTGTCAAAAACAATACAGAATGAAATTATTGACATAATGGCAAATGTCAGAAATAGCATTCTAAACGACATCAAATAAGCCAAATACCATACAATAATGTTCGATTGCACTCCAGATGTCTCGCATACAGAACAAATGAGCCAGGTCATTCGCTATGTAAAAAAAAACTGGTGATGTATGTGAAATAAAAAAAAATTTCATTGACTTTGTAGAAAGACAGGAGAGCACATTTGTCAACAGATAATGAAAAAGTTGACAGTTGATGGTTTAGATATCAAACAATGTCGTGGTCAATCTTATGATAATGGATTAAATATGGCTGGCACCTATAACGGAGTGCAAGCCAGGATTACAGGAAGGAATGAGCTGCTCGAGTTCGTACCGTGTTTGGCTCACTCCTTAAATCTTGTCGGTGTCCATTCTGCCTCATCATGCCCGGAAGCAATAAATCTATTTGGATTAATTCAAAAAGTATTTTGCTTTTTATCAACTCTACTACTCGATGGGATACTATAAAGAAATGTGTTAAAACCAATTTAAGAGGAAGCAGTCAGACGAGGTGGTCGGCAAAACATGTTGCTGTGAAAGCCCTCTTAAATAATTTGCCGGAAGTGGTGGAATCCTTGGAAGAATTTAAGCAAACTTCTCATGCTCCGGAAGCAAAGTACGAAGCAGGTAGTCTCTTAAATGCAATAAAGAATTTTAAATTTAAATTGAACTTGACTATTTTGGCAAATATTCTACGCGAAATCAATCGAGTGAATACTGAAATTCAGAAGAAAGATATAATCCTTTCACGTTCCGTCTCTTTAATGGATGGCCTGATGAAAACTTTACAAAAAATGAGAGAAAATTCAATTGAATATTGGATAGAAGAGGCTAAAGAAGTTGCCAAATAAACGAATTCCGAGGTGCAAAAAACAATTTGACGAGATGTGTGATGACGAATCACGAATACTTCAACCAGTTCAACTTTTTTATCAAGCAACAATGATGATATTTGATAGAATCTTATCAGAAATTAAAAAGAGAGTTGATAGTGCTACCACGTTGAATTCGAATTTATAAATGGTATTGAAATTTTGAATATGTCAAATGAAGAACTACAAAAGCATGGAGCAGATCTGGGACGAAAATACGAGCGAGATTTAAACGCGGTTGAATTCTGCCAGGAACGCTACGTTTTTAAAGAGCAAGGTCCACTTTTATTTGGAGATATAAAAAATGCTAGTGCTTTCAAACTCTTGCAACAGATTTATACGCATGATTTGCAGGATGCCTTTCCTAATATTTGTATTGCTCTAAGAATTTACTGTACGCTTCCTACTACATCCGCAAGCTGCAAGCGAAGTTTTAGCAACTTAAACTTATCAGAAATTATCTACGATCTTCGATGAGCCAGGAACGTTTATCAAGTCTTACCATATTAGCAATAGAAAATCAAATAGGTCATCAAATTAATTATAATGAGGCCATAGATTTGTTTGCAGAACAAAAGGCTCGAAGAGTAAAATTATAATTTCAATGTGTAATATAATAATAATTTTAACCTCATGTTTTATTCAGATCCTATCCTGTCCTAACCTAATTAAAATATATGTCCCAGTCCGACACATCCTGGTATTTCTCGAAAAAATATTGGCTTAACAGAGAAAGAGCAGCGGTATACCGGTAGTTGTGGGGTTCTTTGGGAGAGGCCTATGTCCATCAGTCGCGGGTGGGGGCGGCATTTTTCAATTTTTGTCCCGCCTTAAAAAAATTCAAGATCCGGGGCTGACCTTAGAATTGCGTAACACTTAACATAATAGGATCATAAATAATTGGTACCAAGGCGTGAGACGTATGTGCTAATTGCACAGAGTGAAAAACTATTAATATGTATCATCACTTTATTTGAGTCGTACAGTAACTATTTTCTAAATAATAAAAAAATTCCATTAACAAAACAAAAATACTAACACTTTTATATACATCGGAACTAGCAAAAGCAGATAATGCTTAAAAGAGATTTTTATTATTGTTAATTTATTACCCAATATTGCTGGTATAATTATGTTTAGAACAACATTGCAATCTTAAAATATTGTAACTTTATATTCTGGCCCAACTGTGTAAACTGTCGATATAAATTTTACCTTAGAACAGAATTGACTCGAAACTTTTCCTGGCAATATGTTTGTAAGAAGTCGGTCATCTAATGAAATTTTGAAGAGATCGAGATTTTTATTTGATTCCGCAAATAGAATCAACGCACCCTCTCAGACGAGACAGACGAGACGTTTTAGGGTGAAATAGATCTATTTCAATCCGCTACACTGTAGTCTAACGATAACAATTTTTGGAACGGTTTTTTTTGTCACATAGAACTATTTCTAGGAACAATAGCTGTTAATTATATTGTGGAAAAAATGTTTTACATTTTAGTTATTTATAACACATTTAAATAAAAATACCAATTTTCAAGGAAATAAAAGTTGCGTAACTTCTTGTAATATCCCATAGCGATGATTTGTTTTCCCACTTTTACTACTAAATTTAATATTAGTATCTAAATTTGGAGGAAGTGTGTGTTCCAGATTTTTCCAAATGACAAAAACTAGTCCACTAGCCCACTTTCCAAGTCATTCCTTGTATTTATTATTCCTCTATTTTTATTTTGTTAATGTTTCAGACATGTGTTTTTTATTGTTGTGTTGAAGTTGTGTGTTTAAATTGGTATCTTTTTTATATTTATCTAATTTTCATCGTACAGTTCTATTTTTAAAATGGGCCATGTTCAAATGTGAGATATGCTGTTTTATAAATTATATTGCAATAGTTCTTCTAAATAATCAGTTTGTTAAAAAAGCCAGAAGTTTTTAAAGTAAAACCATTTATAATTTAAAATTTGAATTGTGTACGTCATCGGGAATAGACCAATCAGCTTGTGTCGAAGTTTTGTTTGTTATACAGAACCAAGTGAAGTGAATGCACATCTTAGTGACACTTGAAAATTGACACCACCTAACCTAACATTCGTTGTTATTTTGTTTACTTTTTTCTCGATTTATTTCTTCTGTCTTTGCTAATTGGTTTAACTTTATTACTAATATGAGTTTGTCAGCTGGATTTATACAAGCTGATTCAAGTGTTTAACCTATTGTAAACCAAGATATAATTACTGCATTTTTTTAACAATAATCAGTTAAGCATATTAAGACAGGAAGGTATGTAACACTTTATTTATAATTTGTTTTAATAGTAGGTACAGTTTATATGGGGCAATACACCTTATAATAAAAACATATTTATCTCAGGTCAATAGGATTATCGAACAGTAACAGTTTTTCAAAAATAAACATTTTACCCTTACCTCATTTATATGTATAAGAAAAAAACTTATAATATATTAGCGTACACTGATATCCACAAATATAACACTAGAAATTGGGACGATATATCTGTACTTTGAAGCAACAAGGGCCAATGTCTAATTTGAGCAAGAGAGCGACGTTTAAAGCTATGCTGTTGGTATTATTTCTATAATTAGAAGTAAAAGTATAATTATTATGTATTACCTGAGATTTAGCAAATTTGTTATTGTACAAAACGAGTTTATACATTTTGCCTACCTCAAAAATTAAAACTAAATAACATCTAAAATTATTTAGAAAGGTGGTGCACAAGTATTTACTATAATAATGTTTTTATTTTACCGAGGATTACCTACTTGCTAAATGTCATTGTAAATAATTGTAATTTAAGTACATTTGTGTGTAGTATGAATAACTATTTTTTGTAAATATATACTAACTCTTTGTTACAACTATTATACACATGTCTACTATTTACATGAATAAGTCTACGATAATATTGCTAAATTAAAATAATAAAAACAAATATTTTATGATACAATTTGGAACATAGAAAAGTAATAAAAATCGAAAAAATAGGAATCCATAAAAATGTACTCTTGAAAATACTAAAAAAATCATCACTTCATTAAATAATATTTTATTATTTTTAGATCTGCCAAGCAAGTACATGGAGATTTTCCATGAATAACTTGAGAAAAGGAGATATTTGCACAGTAAACGGAATAATTACACATGAACATAAAGTAGAAATACAAGTTGAATTTGAAAATGAATGTTTAATTGCAAGTTATTGTTAGGGCTTGTAATCATTTTAAAAACATGAGTTTAAACAAATTTAAAAGATCTGTCAAGCAGTTACTGTTAGAAAAGGGTTATTATAGTGTGCGGGAATATTTTTCAGACATTTCCGTGATGACTAAAAAAGTTGTTCCTTGTTTCTCTCATTATTTGTCTACATTTGTTAATATTTTCTTTTGTCTCTTTTTGTCTGATATTGTGCTTAATGATTGTAGTATTTTAGCTCTGATTTGTCCTATATATTTATTATGTCTTAAAGGGTGAATAAATATTTTTTATTATTTGTAAATAAAGTGATTTTTACTTCGTTTATCTCATTCAGGTACTTTTATTTTTTAATAATAAGTTAATAAATAACATTTTCACAGATTTTACACTTTTGTTTGTGTACAATTATTATAATCTCTGAAATGTGATAAATAAATAAAAAAAACACAAACAGTTTATTAAATTATTAGGAATTTAGTCTTACAAAATGAGTTCTCTTAATTTGACAATACCACTAATTCACACAGAATTGTAAAAGGTTACAATAAAACATTTTCATTTTAATAAAGAGTATAGATACAAACCTCAACATAATTTAGCTCTAGCTTGAAGCGTTTCTGTGTAATAATAATAAACAACCTGAGACTTGAAGATGGAAGAATCTTTAGACAGCTGGAACAGCTGGATATTGATCATGAGGAAATGAAAATCTCCCTGCAACAGGAATATACTAGTTCTGGCAACTAAACTTATCAGCCGTAACAAGATGACAGCAATTAATTAACTGGCGATTTCCGTCCTGCAATACAGCTTTGGTATCATAGACTGGACCAAGGAAGATCTCTAAGTACTAGATCGGAAGATTAGGAAGCTGCTAATGATATATCGCATGCAGTGGCGGCTCGTGGTAATTTGAAATGGGTGTTCACTTTTTCCAATAATTTTATCATTTGTAAGTTCGGATCAAAACCTTGTACAAGTCAATATCACTGTTTTTTTATTATTTGAGTTTGTATTAAGTGTAATTATTATCAACATCATACTGTTTTCAAGCATTACAACTATTAATAAATGAATATTTTAGTTAGTGTAATATTTGTTTTTTTTTTTTAATACGTTGAAAACAATTTAAACATTATTAGTTAGTAAACTGACTTTTCCTCATAATTTGAGATTATTTTTAAATATATATCAGGCAATGTAGAAACTTCACATTGATTTTTGTGTAAAAAATTTTATATGAAACTTTACCTACCATTTTTTAGTTTTTATTGTAAGTTTAATCATTTTCACAATTTGTCACAGATGTCAAATAAAAAATATATTTTTTAAATACCTTTTATTAACAAATAAAATAAGAACTAAAATGTTTTAAATGTTTATTTTATAAGATCAGTCCCATCACAATACATATTACACAGACACAAACTAGAATAAAGATATATAATGCCTGGCATTCTAGAGGATACTCTTCGTAGTTTAACAGATCCCCTTAACCCCCATTTTCAACCAGATTGTTTTCACAATCAATAGGCCTCATCTGCTTTTAGAGATTGATGTTTGCTAAACATTTCAAGTTTATATCATTTTTCAGTTAGGATTTTTTTTTATATTTTAACCCCCCTTAATTCCCCCATATATTCATATTTTTTTCAGTATCAATAGGCTTTATCTTCTTATAAAGCTTAATTTTTACTAAAAATTTCATGTTGATATCGCTTTTCGTTTTTAATTTATTTTTTTAATTTCAACCCATC